CACAGAGTAGAGAAAGCTCCCTATTCAATCTGCATTTTTAGTTTTGGAGCTGCAGGAAAACATCGTGAGTCAGAAGTTTGCTTCACAGCCCGGGGAGGCAAAATCGTACTGATGAGCATTCGCCGCGTTATTTCATGTACACAGACGGTTCGCAGGGGACCCTTTAAACAAGCACTCTAACCTCCCAATTAAAGATGACATTTGAAAAAGACATTAACCCAGAGGGATCAACTTATGATTTGCATTATTTTATGGCTGCAAGCAATTACAGAGTGCATTAACACATCATGCTAGAGCCATCTAAACTGTGAAAGCATTTAAACTTCACAGTCAAGGCTTTGACTCGCAGCATGGTGAGCAGAGGAAGGTTAATGCCATTAGGTGCACCTTCACTCTTTAATTAGGGAAACTGGGTCAGAGACAGGGCGAACATCTGTTGCTGGAAAACACTATGACCAAAAGAGCCCACTGATATAAATGCTTTGGTAACATGACAGGCCTCAGTATGACGTACAAACTGCTGAAACCGTCTGTGTACATCAAATAATGCAGGGTGTTTCAGTGTTGACAAAAGCAGCAGCAATAGCAAACAAACAGGTTAAACATGCAACAGCCAAGCAGTGAAAGTGAAAATCAACTAATTTTGCATGACCAAACAGCAGCTCAATATCTGGCTTTCTGCCTCTGTCCCACCATCTTTGTCAGTATATCAAAGAGGTTTAGGGGGAAAGCTGTGAAGATTATGTCACACAAAGCAGGTACAGCTTTGTTCCAGAGTCTGGTTCTGCCTGATGTTCCTTCCTGCCAAAAGGAGGTTTTTCCTTCTCGCTGTCACCAAGTGTTTGCTCATAAAAGGTCATATGATTGGGGCGTTTCTCTCTATTATTGTAGGGTCTTTAGCTTATGATATAAAGTGATTTGAGGCGACTGTTCTTTTGATTTGGCTTTATATAAAATAACATTAACTTAATTGAAGCAAGTCTGTAATTCTCATTGCTGTTGCCAAGGAGATTTGTTGATTCTGACTGGCTTTAAATTGAAGTGCTATAGTATAAATCCACGTTACTAACTGAAATAAGCCTAGGAGCTGGCGTGCTTTACGATCCATTCAGAGAGCTCATGTATGAGCTTGAACACCTGCGGAAACATGACTCCCGCGGAGAAAGCACCTGATCCACAGGTGCTACTACAGCTAACACTAGCTCGCAGCTACCTGGCTGTGCGATAGGAGCGAGGACAGACGGATAAACGATAGCGACCTTCTCTCGCACAGTATCCCGTTACGGCGATCATACTAAGTGGCTGGGCTCAGTAACGTGACCGTGATGCAATAAATGAATGCACTCTGAAAAGTAACGTGGCGGTCATGTGGCGAAGGTATTTGAGACGGTGAAAGTCACATAAAAAGAAGTATTCAGGGCGAAGGGTTATTAAATGTGTGTTAAAAGCGGCCGGGCACCCTGTCGTGTCGGTCTCCCCGGGCGGACAGCTGGATCTGCAGCCGCCTGACAGCTGATGACAGGAGGCTATCGTGCTAGCTTGGTGTGCTGGCTAACGTCTGCGCCTGCCGTGACATGATTTCCCACTTATTTAAAGGACCTATATGTCCCCGTCTGTGTCACTGTCTCTCCGCGCCCAGCTGTCTTTTAAAGAAAATCCTGACTTTCTCCTCCGTCACAGCTCCGGTAGCTAGCTTTAGCCTGCTGCTAAACAGCTGAGGCAGCCAGCTGTAGTGATGCGCCGACACAGAAATGTGAGCACAAGTGGCGTTTACATTTTCCAGGGGGAGGGAGGTGGAAACATACACGCCATGCGTGCGATATTTACCTGTAATATGACAGCAGGCCATTGCTGAGGACAAACCACCGCCGCTGGTAGCCTTTCAGATAGTTGGTCCATTTAAAAAGCCAGCCTTTGTAAGTATCCGACCCAGGTGCCGGGGCCGCGGCAGAGGCGGATGCCGAGCCCTTCCCTTGCTCGCTCATCCTCGGCTCCGCCGCACGCCACAGAGTGCTGGATAAACCGGGAGCAGCGGAGACAGGGACACTACCCCCAGATGGTCCACCAGGGCGAGGACCTCGTCACTGACAAATGAGATCGACGGAAGAGGGTCCGGTGTAGGGCGAGAGAAACCACCGTAAACCCCCTTCACATGACGCCGGAATGAACACCGGAGGAAGAACGAGAAGTGATGCCAAGACACTTTGCTGATGCAGACTGCAGAGGATTCAGAGCACAGAGCTGGGCTGGATAGAAGGGAGAGCCCTTACATGGTCTCAGCGTAACCTGACAAGGCTGCCATCAAACTAAATTACTTACATTACGACAGCGATAAACAGTTTGTGGCACCAATTTTAGGGAGAGAGCGGCCGCTACCCCGGCCACTCATTGAGGGGGTTGCACTGAGGGGGAGTGTCCGCTCTATCAATTCAAGTCTATAATTCAGCCCCGCACCACGTGACGTTGTTATCTAAACATTCCTAAACATTTGACATGCGGTTTTGGCTCCTGAATTCAGATCTGATGCTGTCAGATTGAGTAGGGCAGACAAACCAAGTTAATCATCAGTGTTATTAATCCAGCCTGTGCCTTTGCTTATAATCCAGGTCCTAATAAATCAGTGGTACCGGTGCACATCAGGGTGAGACACTTTTGGCACCCTTTTACTTGTGAAAAAACACATTGAGTGTAGGGCAATCTGCATTTGAAGTAACAAATAAACCACATGACTAAGAAAGCCTGCCCCAGAGCTACTGCCTGCTCTTTGGGGGTTTGCTGTGTTATTACTTAATCTTAAATCCCCGGACTGCCCAGGGCAACCTGTGTCATTTTATTCTTTTAGTTTGTATTATGCTGTCACCTAAATGGGATCGTGATATATATGCACAATAAACAGGGCCACAGAACCAAATAATCATTTTTTCCACCCACCATCACCAGTACAACGAGCATAAGCCTACGCTTTCACAATGTTATACAAATGTTTGTCCCCAGAGTCCGAATGGAATAAAGGGGAAAGGCTTGTAAAGCTGTGGCCTCTGTTTCCTGGAATAATATCCTACAGAAGGAGATGACAATGTCCACTTTAAAGGAGCGAGAGAATAGCTCTTTTGGTCAGTGTGACTGCTTTTGTAATGATCTGTTATTTATCTGTTATATGATTTGCATGTTTGTGTTCAACTGTGTGTACTGAATGTCAGGTGTATGTCTTTCTTTACTTGTCATATTGTTATGTGTTGTATTTAGTCAGGTCCCTCTTGGAAAACGCATGTCTTTCAGTACAGCAGGCCTCCTTTTACAGTACAGAAACATTTATTCAGTTAATTTTCAGTCCATCTAGACTGAATATATCATCACAATGCCACCTTAAACGAACTGAGTTGGTTAAAACTAGTGTGTGTGTGTGTGTGTGTGTGTGTGTGTGTGTGTGTGTGTGTG